CACCAGTGCCCGTGCCCCCGCCCAGCCCGCGCCCACTCACCAGTGCCGGGCCTTGGCACTGCAGTACTTGAGGTCTTTGTCAGGCTCCACCACCTGCCCGTTCCTCCAGCACTGGCCACACACGAACTTCATCTGCAGGTCAAAGGTGCTGGGCCCATGTGTCCGCGGGGCACCCTGTGCGCAGAGGGGCTGGTGAAGCCACAGGCACCAGGACTAAGGCCTGAGGTCCATCAGGAAGGCCCTCCAGGGGCATTAGGACTGCCCGGAGCCTTAGAATGGGCAGGTCCATCACCACTTACTGGTAGGAAGTGACCCCCAGCTCCAGGCCCGTAGCCGCTCCATGTGGGAGCGAGGCCTGGAATGGGAATCCTGACTCCTGATCCAGTGCTCTCTGCCTTAGCTGGCTAGTCCACATCGGCCTGGTCTGCGGGGCTGCTGGCATTTCTCTGGGCACAGCATGCGACCTCATACCTCCCTGCCTTTGCACATGCTGTTCCCTCTTCCTGCAATGCCCTTTCTCCGTTCTTCATGGGTTTGGTCTAGAAACTTTCAAGACTCAGCTCAAGCACCTCCTTCAGGAAGCCTTCCTAGAGCTCTCCTACGTGGCAGCTGCCCACCCTCTGAGCTCCCACAGCACCAAGCTACCCCATGTTGATGGACTCATCCAGTTACAGGGCCAGGCCTGCTGGAGAGCAGGGCCCAGGAGGTGGACAGCCCCCTGCAGCGGGTAGGGATGGAGGGGCCTGCGATGGGCGGTGGGACAGACCACTGGGCAGCCCTGGACTCTCTAAATCCCACGCGTTCATGCCCCGTCCTCTGCCCCAGCCTTTCCCTTGCAGGCAGGAGCTCCTGCTCTTGAGCATCCCTGGGTCAGGGTGGGGCAGGCGGTGAGAAGATGCCCACTCAGCCTCCCTCCCTGCAACCTCGCTGTCCCTCCGTCAGCTAGAGCCTCCCAGCCTCCCTGGAATCTGATACGGGGCCACCCCTCCAGGCAGCACTCTCTCCTCTAGGCTGCAGGTTCGAGTCCCCGGCCACGGGTGCACTTGTCCCTGGCACTGCCCAGCCCAGGGGCTGCCCTGGGGCAGGAAGGGGTTCTGTCCTTGTTGGGTGCTGACTGAGCCCTGGCTCCGCCCCAGGATCACACACATCGTCTGATGATGGCATAAACCACAGCTTTATCACTGGGCCCGGCCTACGCTAGAGCGACAGGACATTTATCCGAGGCAGCACTGACCTCTCGGTGTCCCGCTGGGTTCTCACCTTTCCACGGGGAGGGAGTGGGGCCTGGAGGGGCGCTGTGGCTCAGCCGCTGGCGAGTGAACTGCCACTCCCGTTCACTTTCACAACGGCCACCTCCCCCCTCGCTGCAGCCTGGGGGGAGGGGGGTCATTCCCCTCGAGGCTCAGCCAGGCCACTGACCCACCCACAGGTAGGCGGCCCGAGGACAGGGGCCTGGCGAGAGGAGGTGCTCGCGCTTCTTTGCGGGATGGCCCAGCTGTGCCACAGGCCCTGGCCAGATACCCCGGCATCTCGCTCTCGGTCCCACAGTGCCACTGGCCCCACCCATGATGGCAAACAAACAAGACGCCCATGCCCACATGACCGGGCCTGGCCAGAAGCCCTGTTCCGGAGCCAGGCCCGAGAGAGGCATCTTGGTGGGGAGGGGGCGCCTGGCAGCAGGAGGGGGTGGAAAGCTGTCGTGGTACCTTGAGCAGCCAGGCCTGCCCCCATTCCTGGGGACCCTGGCAGCCGCCCTGGGTGGGATGAAGGGGGTCAGAAAGCCAGGTGGTGGCAAGGACAATATTCTCTCTAAAAGGTGATGCTACAGGTCCAGGCTTAGCCCAGCCAAGAGCAAAACTAAACCCATGGGAGAGGGACAGAGGAAGGGAGCAACCAGGAATAGGGGAGAGAAAGAAAAAGGACCAGCAACAAGGGGGCTAAGAAGAGAGAGGGAAGGGCCGAGGGGGCTGGGCAGCTCTGTTGACCGACCAGCCTGCCCTGCTCCCTGCCACACGCAGGCTGGCCTCAGGTGGGCCTGGCAGAGGGAGGGGGTCGTCCCTCCTGTGTGGATGGCACAGGGGCGTCATATCACAGTCACCATCTCCTGCGCCCTGAGGCCATCCCTTCTCTCCCCGCTGTCACCTAAGTTACAAGGATCCCTGCCTCCTGGGGCAGGGGTGAGGATGGGGATGGCACAGAGGGACTCAGCGAACTGCAGCGTGATCGGCTCCTGTGAGCCTCAACCCTACCCTGGGAGATGGCAGGCAGGAGTATGGTCCCCATTTTATGGATGAGGAGCCCTCAGGGGTGAAGGGCATGGTGCAGGGTGGGAGGGAGCAGAGCGGGCTCCAGACCAGAGGTCAGAGAAGCTGGGATTTACTCCACTAAGTGTGCCCTGGGCAGGTCCGAGAATGCCCTGCGCCCCCGTGCCCGCGTCTGCAGAAGCCATGATGCCGCAGTGCCATCTTTAGGACCCCGGTGAGGATCGAGAGGGAGGGGAGGCGATACAATCAGGGGGTGAAAGTGTGAGGGGCACCAGGATATTGACATGGTTTCAAGTACCTCCCGGAAGACAGTTATTAACGACAAAGGGGGAAAGTACAACCTCACAGCAGAGAAACCTGCACAGCGGAGGCACCTTATGTCAAGTCATCACCAGTAAGAGGACAAGTCGGACGACGTGCCTCCCGCTGAGTGACCCGAGAAGAACATAACATCACCCTGGGGTTTGAGGAACCATCGGACAATCCCGGGCGGACGGGCCTTTTACAAAGCAACCGGCTCTTCACAAATGTCAAGGTCATGAAAGACAGAGAGACTGAGGGGTTGCTCTGGGTTAAAGGACACTAAAGAGACACAGCGGGAATGCTGTGTGGGACTCGGGATTTGGGAATGGCTCGCAAACCCTGAACGCAGCGTGCCAGACTCTGCACAGGGGCACCGATGTTAACTGTGGTGCTGGTAGCTGTCCTGTGGTTATTATGGAAGAGAGCGCCTGTGTTTTTAGAAAACACACACTGACGTATTTAGGGGAAATGGGGCATCATGTCTGCAACTTATTCTCAAATAGTTCAGAAAACAGTGTGTGCCTTCTGTATATAAATGTATTTATGTGTAGGTACACACACACACACACACACACACACACACACGGGACCAAGCGTGGGATGTGGTAAAATGTTAACACCTGGGGAATCCAGAAAAGGGTTTACACATATTCTACGTACGATTCTTAGAATTTTCTGGTAAATCTGAAATGATGTGCATCCCAAGGCCAGGGCCTTACCAAGCTGCTGCTGGCCTTCCCCGCGTGGGCCTCCATCTGCTGCCAGTATTTCTTGGATTCCTGGACGATGTCTTCGTGGGTCATGCCTGGGGAGGGTGAGAGCGGACCTGGTGTCCTTGAAGGAGCTCAGCCAGGAGAGGCAGCGATCTGAGAGGTGCTGGTGCCACCCAGGCTCCACCTGCCTCCGCCCGCCCCCCTGGCAGTGCCCGGAGAGGGACAAACCTGGATCCTCCAAGCCAGGCCGCTGCCTGGGAGCAGAGCCTCTGTGATGTTTAGGAAGCACCGGCTTCCTGTCCCCCGCTCCCCAGGCAGCCCCCCAGGAGGCAGCCCCCTCACAGGAGCCTGCCCCGCCCAGCCCCACCTGAGTACTGCTGCAGCAGCCAGACTTTGAGCTCGATGAAGCTGTGGGCGAAGTGGCAGCTGTCCTCCCGCAGGCAGCCGTAGCGCACCTCGTGGCGGCACACGTCGAACTGGAAGTGCTCCTGGAACTGGCGGATCTTGGAGTACTTGAGGGAGGTGGAGCGGACGATGTGCACCAGGCACCTGGGGGCGGGTGGGGGAAATGCAGGCTGCAGCCCCCTTCCTGCTGGGCCTGAGGGAGGGGCTCCTCCCTGGGTGCCTCCTGCCCTGCTGACCACATCTACAAGCGATGGCACAGGAGGCGGCAGGTGGGGGTCCCTCACTCTGGCAGCCCTAGTTAGAGTCCAGCTGTGTGCCCCGCCCCCCTCAGTCTGGGACAAGCTCAAGGGCAGAGCTGCCAGCAGGAGCAGGACAACAGCTCCCACCTGCAACGGGGCTGGGAGAAGGGAGTGCCCACGGGTGGAGAAGGGGCACTTCCCTCGGGTTGCCCAGCCCGATGCTCCAGAACTGGTCCTGCCCCCAGAGGAATAATAAGGCAGCTCCTTCGGGCCAGCGACGTTAATCACCCTCCCAGCAACCTTAGGAGACTCGGAATCATCGACTATACGATGAGGACCCAAGGGTCAGGGTGGCCAGAGGACACAGGACAGGCCACTCCCTGACCAGCTGGGAATCCAGGGCCTGGGCTCCATCGTCCCCGATGGGGCAGAGCCAAGGGAGTCAGAGGGAGCGAACGTGGGTGCCTGGCTCACCCAGCCCCTCCCACTCTGCCCTTGTTGATGTCATGAGAGTGGGGGCACCAGACAGGAGTCAGAGGGTCATCTGTACAACACAGACAGCATCTCTGCCCTCACAGGACTAGGGGGTCACTGATACCCAAAAGGAGGCTTGGAATAGAGCTGCTCCATCAAGGTGGTCTGTCTGTCTGTCCCTTCCAGGTGGGTGCTGGCTCTGAGTCCCAAATTCTGCCCCTCGCCTTGACGCCCTCCGTCCACCCTCTGACCTCAGCTGCTCCCCAGGCATCTGAGCCGCCCCATGGAGCCTCTCCATGCGCCCCCCTCCCCGGGCTGGGCTGTGGGTGACACTCACTTGTTGTTATAAAAGCTGTGCTTGGCAGCCAGGTTGGAGCAGACGGAGGGAGAGTCCTTCGTGCCTTTGCTGATGATCCGGGGTTTACTGTCAAAGCAGATCTGCCCGGGGAGGGCCTGGGCTGGAACCCGCATGACCACCCAGGGTGGGGGGTGGACAGACGGGTCCCCGCAAGCCCTGTTCTGAGTGCCTGAGTCGGGGAAGGGAGGAAGGGAGGGCCAGGGTCTGCAGTCCCTGCCTCTCTGGCTCTTGCTCACAGGTACCCTGGGCCGGGCTCTCTGACCCCACCCTGCATTGGGTGGGGATTCACCATGCCAGGCCGAGGGCAGGGGTTACTCCGTGCCTCAGCCTCAGTTTCCTTAACTGTAAAGTGGGGATAACCACACAGGGGCTGTCCCACAGGTTCCCTGTGAAGCTCAGAAAGGACAGAACCGAACCGCAGTGCTCTGTAAAGTACATGCAGCGTCCGACGGGGAGCTGACCCCAGGCGGCCTGCTCTCCGCGGCTGCCTGCCTGCTCGAGTCGGAGGGAGGGCTGGCTGTGTGATGGATCGGGGTGGGGCTGCTGCACCAAACCCTGCCAGCATCCGGGACCAGAGCTCTCCCTCCCCAGATCTGGACCCTCACAGGCTACGGCTGGTGGGGAGGCAGGGCGCAGTGGGCCTTCTGTGGCAGCCGGTGGGGCCGGCTGGATCGCAGCTGGGCCTGAGGGTCTGAGGATGCTCCCGGGAGAGGATACAGGCGGGACACACGCAGAGAAGTAGGCAGGGCGGTGCAGCGGGCATTGAAGTCAGCGCAACCGGACAAGGCGGGGAGGGGGTGGAATGAGCACCTAAAGCACCTGGCCCCCGCCTGGCCCACGACGGCCGGCCGGAGGGAAGAGCAGGTGTGGTCATTTCTCTTCTGCCTCAGTGTCCGCTGCCCTCGGTGAGGGGCTGGGCAGGATCGGGGCTCTAGCGTGACCGAGCCTCTGAGCCTAACTTTCTAACAGTCCAAGGACCTACGGACTCTAGGGTCAGGCCTCCAACACCACCTGTTCCAGGGCTGCCATTCCAGTGGAATGCGCCAGGGAGCCCTCCCCAGCCCTGCCTGTGCCACCGCCTGTGGAGGTGGGGGTGGGGCGGGCGGGCAGGTACCTCGCAGAGGAACGTGAAGATGCCCTGGTGCTCCTTAAGGAGCTTGGCGATGGTGAGGCTGCCGCGCTTGACGCCCCCCAGCGGGTCGAAGAGCAGGTCGCGGTTGAGGGTGCCCTTGCGCTCCTCGGTCCACACGTCGATCTCCTCCTGATGGTAGGCGAAGGTGCAGTTATCCCCGTACTTACAGTCCTGCTTGTTAATCATGTCTGCAAAGAGGCAACAGGACACACGTTCTGCCAGGCGGGAAGGCGGCCCCCAGCGCCCCCAGGACCGCCGCTGCGGCCCGGGGGTGCCAGCAACCCCCCGGCGGGCCCTGGGCTCATCTCCGACACGTGGGCGGTGCCCTGCCCGCCACGAGGACCGGGGAGGGCGGCCTCCTCTTTGCTCTCCCCCCGGGTGGGTGGGGGTGGGGAGTCACATCTTCATCTGCAAAACATGGCTATCATCAGGCTCCACCCAGAGTCTGAGGAGGCGGGACGGTGGGTACAAAAAGGTGGCAATAGAAAGCACTTAACAATATTGTGACTGTCGTATATCGCTATGTAGACGCACTAAGACGCTTGGGTGAGGAATAGAAGCATATAAGGTATATAACCGTCTATTAAATTTCAACCAAGTTGACATGAGCCAGGCATGAGGGCAATGGCAACAGAATACTTTTTAAAAGCTAACATTTATTGTCCTGGCCGGTCTGGCTCAGTGGATAGAGCGTCGGCCTGTGGACCAAAGGGTCCCGTGTTCGATTCCAATCAAGGGCACGTACCTTGGTTGCAGGCTCCTCCCCAGCCCGGGCCCTGGTCAGGGCATGTGCAGGAGGCAACCCATCAATGTGTTTCTCTCACATCAATGTTTCTCTCTGTCTTTCCCTCTCCCACTCTCTCTAAAACAGCGGTTCTCAACCTATGGGTCGCGACCCCTTTGGCGGTCGAACGACCCTTTCACAGGGGTCGCCTAAGACCATCCTGCATATCAGATATTTACATGACGATTCATAACAGTAGCAACATTACAGTTATGAAGTAGCAACGAAAATAATTTTATGGTTGGGTCACAACATGAGGAACTGTATTTAAAGGGCCAGAAGGTTGAGAACCACTGCTCTATAAAAGACCAATGGAAAAATATCCTCGAGTGAGCTGGATCCGGCCCATTTTACAAATAAAAAATAAATAAAAGCTAACATTTATCGAGCCTTACTATGTGCCAGTCCTCAGTGCTGTACACGGATGCTTTCCGCACCTTCCCACAGCCGTGGGCCCTGCCGCAGTAGCAGGCTAGCTCTCCACCAACTGTGCGGCCCGCTCACTCGAGAGCGCGGCCACCAGCTCGAACGGAACTCCCGAATGTCCCCGCCCGTCTGCAGAGCTGGTCCGGGTGGGAGACGCTCTCTGGATGTGGGATTCATCCTCGATGGGCCACACCTGCTCTGCCCACCTGCCTCCTGTGAGGAGCAGAGCAGCAGCCGGGCGTGCGAAGCCGCCCTGTCGCGGGCCACCCACCTTTGCACAGGTAGTAGGAGCCCACGAAGCTGGTCTTGGTGGGCCGGGGCCGGATCCGCTTCCAGGTCTGGTCCTCGGAGCTCCGGAGCCGGCCGAGCAGGAGGTCCCGCTTGCACTTGTGCTCCAGGCCCTCGCGGTAGGTGTAGTCGCCTGCCCGGGGGCCTGTGGGTGCAGGGGGATAGGGATGTAGGGACGTGACGGGAGCAGAACCGAAAGGCTGATGGCTGACGGGCCCAAGCAGAGGGAATCGGCCCCCTGTCTACAAACCTACCTCCTTCACCTGGGCCTCCGCCACCCCCACCCATGCCATATGCTCTCTGGGGCCTGGGTCGGGGGAAGTCCTTCAAGGAGCCCCTTCTCAGCACCCCGGCCCCCTCCCCCTGGCCCTCTAGTGATCCTGAGCGTTTCTGTGTTTCCCTAAATAAATTATGAAGACAGTGCCCAGCAGAGAGCAGACCTCCACACACGCCCCCCCCTTCTTTTCCTGTCTGAATGGCATCGCCCGGATTCATCCTCCCTCCCCTGCTGCTTTCTCTTCCTGGTCCTTTAAAATCTGCTGGCCAAGGGCCCCCTGTCCCCGGACAGTGGAGTGGGGTGATCTCCTTAAAGAGACCAACGGGAAACGGCCCCTGTGGGGGCCCCCTGTGATCTGGCTGCCGGCACCAGGTGTGCACCGGCTCCCGGGCCTGTCGGCTTCCTCGGGGCAGGGGCAGCGGGCGTGGGGGCCAGGGAGGCAGCCAAGGAAGAACTTCCTCATGGGCACAGCCATCCGCCAAGATGGCATCTGCTCTCGTCCCCACAGGCCCACGGAGCGCTGTGGGCTGGCTCAGGCAGGGGCGACATGCATTGGGGGGTGGGCCAGGGAGGTCTTGCAGCCGGTGGATGACAGTAACCGGATGACCCCTAAGGCCCTGCCAACTCCAACACCTGAGAGGGAGGATGTAGACTACTGAGATTTCTAACCTGGGACCCTATATCGTCTAGAAGTTCGGGGCCATGGGCTTCTGGCAGATGAAACCCTGAGCCTGAGAGTCTAGACCAGCCGTGGGCAAACTACAGCCCACGGGCTGGATCCGGCCCATTTGAAATGAATAAAACTAAAAAAAAGAGACCGTACCCTTTTATGTAATGATGTTTACTTTGAATTTATATTAGTTCACACAAACACTCCATCCATGCTTTTGTTCCGGCCCTCCGGTCCAGTTTAAGAACCCATTGTGGCCCTCGAGTCAAAAAGTTTGCCCACCCCTGTTCTAGACTCCTGAGACGCTGGGTGAACTGAAAATTATCTCCCGATCCTGGGCCTCTCTGAACGACTTCCACCACCTCCCTTGGATTTGGGGTCTAGGGTCTCCCCTGGGGCCACACAGCTAGTGTCCTCCCCAAACTCCTTTGCCCCCTGGGTGCTGGGCAAGGTTTGCAGTCACCCCGTGGGAGGCGGCTCTGCACTCGGCAGCCGGGTCCCAGCCTCTGGGCTGCAGGGCTCGAGATGCACCGGCAGCGCCCTCCCTGCCCTCCAGCCTCCCCAGCACTTGTGCAAGCCCCACCCCCACACCGTCTCCCTGTGTGCTCCTGTTCCCGCCTCATCTCTGACTGGCACACGAGGACCTGTCATTCTGGGTGTCCACGCTCCGGAGATCCCCAGCATCTCGGGGCAGAGGGGCAGAGGTGAGGGTGCACGTTACCTGTTTTGGGGTAGCAGAGCTGGCAGGCCTGCTTGAACTCGTGGGTGGCAGCCAAGGGGTTCTTGATGAGCAAGGCGGTGTTGGGCATGGAGGGCTCTGGCTGTGACAAGAGGAAGTTGAGCATCTTGGGCCCTGGGTGAGGGCTGGAGCCACCAGGGCCAGCCTGGGCACCAGAAGGCGGGGGGGACTCTACGACTCTTCCGCCCCATCCAAGGGCAGAACTGTAGCCCAGGACCCTCCCTCTTCCTCTGCCCTCCTGGCCAGGGAGCTCCTTATCTGATCCAAGAATCCAGAACATAGGACTGGAGAAGCCTCAGGGGTAACATGATCTCGCCCTAGAGCCTCCCCTTGGGAACCAGCCCAGCATGAAGCAGAGCAAGAGGAGTGGGCCCGTGGGGCTGTGCACGCCCGGCCTCCATTTCCCAGGCCCCACAGGACGAGGGGAGGTCAGGGACTTCCCTGGGGCCACGCAGCTACTGTCCAGCTGAGGCAGGAGGCCAGGCTGCCTAACTCCTGGTCAGGTGCGCGCCCACCCTCAGAGCCTGGCTGAGCCCCGACACCAGGGATGTGACTAACGCCGGAGAAGTTACTCAGCCCCCCCGAGCCTCCGTGTCCTCTTCTGCCAGCCCCCGGCCCTTTGCTCGCCCTCCCAGCACGCGGCTCAGTTGGGAAGGGCCGAGAGACCATCTGCTCCCGGGCCCCTCCCGGGGGGTGCAGCCCCTTGTCCCAGGCAGAGGGCTCACCCCCACTCCGGAGCCCACAGCCACTCGCCTTGCACCCCCGGGGGCATGGGGTGCCTGGTCACGCATGCTCACCACGTCACTCACCGAGGGGGCTGGCTTCTGAGTGCCGCTGGGGGGACGATGGTCCTGTGAGCTGGGGTCCTCTGGGCAAGGAGAAGGAAGACACAGGGGGTCACGGCCCCGCCCGGAAGGGGGTGGGGGGCCCTCCGAGGACTCTTCTCCATATTTCGAACCCAGAGAAGCCTCCCAGCTACACACCTTCTCCTATTCATGCTGATTCCCTCACTCCACCCCCGGGGGACAGGGAAGCATCCCAGCTGAGCAAGTCCCCACACCCCCCGCACCCCCTCGGGCCCCAGGAGACAGCCGCAGCTCGGCCGCAGGTCCTCCGAGACTAGCTCGGTCTTCAAGGCCCCCATCCTGCCAGCCCTCCTACTCTGCTCCTCTGCCTTGGGAGACCTCCCTCCGTCATGCGGGCCTGTGTCAACTGCTCCCCCCGCTGGCAGATGCCTCCTGCAGGAGGCACCATCACCTCCCCCAGGAAGCCCCTCGGGGCTCCTGCAGTCCTGTGAGTTCCCCTCAGCCGCGAGCTCTCTGGGCCACGTCTGGGGAAAGCCCTGCCTGGAAGGGCCCATGTGAGCCGGTTGCCTGTCTGGGTTCCTGGCACCCAGCTGTGTGGTACTGAAGGAGCCCATGGCCTTGAACCCACCGGCCTAGCGACCCCAGTCCCTGGGAGGCTGGACAGAGAGCACCAGACCACAGGTCTGGAGTCCTAGCCGATCCCAGCTCTGGTGTTCGATTTTGAACAAGATACCAGCCCGACACTGAGCCGAGAGCTGTAGGGTGACAGGACCCTTGCAAACTGTCGGGGGGGTGAGGGGTGCCTGCCACCCAGGCCTCACCCATGAAGGCGCTGGGCTTGTCCAGGGAGCCCCGGGTTGACCCGAAGCTGTCCAAGGCGTCCAGGCGGGTCTCTGAGTAGGGCAGCAGGTCCAGGGAGTCCAAGGTGGAGCCCGGGGGGTCGAGGGCATCCAGCACAGAGGCAGCCAGCTTCTTGGAGGGGTCCATGACGAGGCCAAAGGAGGCGGGGGGCAGTGGGCTGGAGACGGGGATGGACCCCCCCACCACGGGTGGCAGCAGCGGGGTCCCGCCGGGGAACACGGGTATCAGCTGGGGCAGCTCGCTGGGCACACCGCTGCCAGGCAGGCCGCTCTGGACCAGGGACTGCAAGGAGGAGAACCGGGGTCAGAGAGCTCGCCTGTCCAGGCCTGGCACAGTCGGCACTGGGACAAGCCAGCCCCCCGGGCCTCAGCCCCGCCTGACCCCTGGGGGAACCAGGAACCTTCACCGCCCGCCCCCCCCACACACACTGCAGCTTCGCCTTTCTGCCCCCAAGGCCTCTGTCTCCCCACCTGTGACATGGAGACGGGGCCACCCCCCCTCCGTGGGACGTGAGGATGACTGTGACGGGGTCCCAGGCAGGAGGGGGTTCAGAGCGAACAGCAGGGCTCACCAGTGAGTCCAGAAGGGTGTCCAGCTCAGGACCAAAGACGTCCCCGTCGGAGAAGTCGTCCAGGCCCTCGGTGCTGGGCAGCGCCCTGCTGCTGCTGTCCAGGGGCGCCAGCAGGTCCAGAACATGGGGGAACAGGGGCATCGTGGGGGTCGAGGGGAGGAGGGCCGGGGAGCCTCGCAGGTCCACGTAGCAGTCTGTGGGGTGGGGGTGGGGGGCTCAGTCGCTGCAGGAGGTCCTGCTTGGTGGGAGGGGGGGCCGTGTCCCAGGGCCCCGAAGTCCTCACCCAACACCTTCCCTCCTTGCCCCGGCTCCTACCCTAACCCTGCCTGCCCGCTGGCCTGTCCCAGTGGCCGAGGCTCAGTCATAGTCAAGGAAGTGGGGGAGGGTCCTGGAGCCCCACAATACGTCCCTGACGGGCCTGGCGCAGAGTCTGAATATCCCAACCTGGGGCAAGCGGTGCCTTCTCTGAGGGGCACTTTTAAAGGGACCTCCCGGGAAGCCAGTGAGAACAAAGGCAGAGGTTTGACAGAGGTGGACTCCGGGTGAGGGGCGGGAGTGGAGAACATGGGACCAGCATCCCTCACTGTGAGGTGGCCCCTGCCCCCCGCCAGGCTGGAGGGGTGCTTTCCCCTCCCTGTGGGGACTCTTCCTGAACCCACTATTTGCTCTCATGTTTCAGGGAGTCCCCAGGAGCCCTTGTCTGCAGGGCTGGGGCTGGCTGAGCCCTTCCCTGGGCCCCATCTCCACCCCGCCCCCTTGAGTGAGGGACACTACCTGTCTCGATGTCATCTATGGACCCCAGTCCATTGGAAGTTCCCTGTGGGAGGAAGGACACAGTGGGTCAGGCAGACCCGGGCTGGGAGGCCACGGCGCCCAGCACTCGGGGTGTCACCTGGGCCCGAGGGACCACCGCTGCTATTAACCACGGGATGGGACAGGACGGTCAGGAAGGCACGGAAGTGCCACTCCCCGAATCACCAGTGTCTGCCCCAGTCCCCGCCCCCGGCTGAGTGGCGGTGGGACCCGCCGAGGCCTCATCCTCTCTGGCCCGTTTCCTTCTGTGTCACCCGCTCCTGGGGCTTTGTAAGGAGAAATCACCTGACACTTGCACCGAGCTTGGAACATGCCCGACCCACAGGGAGGGCTTCACGGGTTTGATAAACGTGTAACGTAAAAGGTTAAGCCCAAGCGCTCAGAGCTGGCCTGGTGAGCGGGTTCTCACCGCAGCCTCCACATTCAGTCCCGTGGACGTGCATGGCTCCTCCCCCCCTCCCCCCGGCTGTGACCGTCCTTCCTCGGCCGGCAGGTCCTCCCCTGCCCCCTGGGTCCTGCAGTCGGATCTGCCAGCGCCCTGATCTTGCACATCCCAGCCTCCAGCACTGAAGGCAACTCTTGTTTATAAACCACCCAGGCTACCCTTCGCTATAGCAGCCCGAACAGACTAATGCGTTCATTCATTTTATTTTTGAACACCCAGTATGTGCGAGGCTGATAATTTCTGGTTACACACCATGAGGAGTGACGGTTACAAACCAGGTGAGATCACGCTTGCCTCCCTGCCGCCTGCGAGGCCCCCAAGGGCAAGGCCATGCCTCCTGCAGCCCTGGCACAGCGGCGCCCAGGGCTTGAAGGGGTTCCCTGGGATGTGTTGAGTGGGTGGATGAAGTGCTATAGCGCCCGGAGGGAGGCCTGCTGCTGCCTTGCTGGGTGACACTGGCCAAATCCCCCGCCCACTCTGTGCCTCAGTCTCCCTTATGGATAATGAGGCAGGACGCAGGCTCCATCGGTACTTACAGCCCGTCCCTCATCTTGCAGAAAGCCTCACAGCCCACCAAGCAGTCCGTGTGTGGTGAGCAGTGGGGGAGTCAGGCGTGTGCTGAGCCCTGCCACACCCACATGAGGCCTGCGTGGCTGGCCCTGACCATCCTTCCTTCCACTGCCTTATGCCCTCCCTCCTGCGCCCATGGTTTCCTTTCTCAAGGGGCCATGGGCTATCCCTGATGGTCCCCTGCAGTGACCACTCCCACCAGCAGCAGCACCGCCTGTCCCCACGCCGTGCACCCCAGAGCTGTCCTCACAGGCCTGGCCCAGGCCCAGGCCCAGGCCCAGGCTGCAGTCACCCCTCTTCCCAGAGCAGGTGCCCGGCTCAGCAGGGGGATGAGGACAGACTGAGCCCAGCCCTACAGTCTGATGCCCCGGCACCTGCTGCCTGAGGTCAGACGCCTCAGAGAGTGGGTTCAAAGCTCTGGTGATGGATGAACCGTGATAGGCTGCTCCTAGAGGAGGGGAGGGAGGCGAGGGGCCCTGACCACCCTACCTGATCTGCCGCGCCAGCCGCAGTGCCGTTACTGAGCAGAGAAAAGGTTTCCAATTCCTGCCAGAGATTGGAGAGGGGGGAAGAGATGAAGATCCGGGAAAGGTGCTCGGGGTCCCATCACCCTGGCGGTCGGGGTTTGCGGTCCCGCCAAAGCTCCCTGCCCCGGGTCTGCTGGGAGTCACCTACACTCTCTCTGGGTCATATTTGGGTTTCTCCTTTCTGCAACCATGACCTGGAGAGAGGACTTCCAAGCACACACTCCTACTGTGTGCCAGGCACGGCCCCAGGTGCCATCTCATCCTCTCGTTTTGATCCTCCCATGAACCTCTGGGGTGGGCACCATTATCCCACGTTCCAGGTGGAGAGAGAAGTAACTTGCTCAAGGTCGCAGCAAGACTCGCGAGCCGGACCCTTCCTACGTGCAGCTTCCCGGCGCACAGAGGTGCCAAGTGAACCACACAGACACCAACATTTCACATATGCGCCCTCGGGGGTTATTTGAGGACGCAAGGCTGAAGGACGCACTGTCAGCTAAGGCCCCGGTGCTGAAGCCCAGGGTAGGGGAGGGAGCGGCGCCAACAGCTGGTGTCAGGTGAGCTGGAAGCGTTGGCTGCTCTTTCCTGTCCCTAAAGATCCTGAAAGTCCTTCCAGGGCTTTCAGCCATAGAGAGGGACGATCACCTGCTGTCACTCCCGCTGTCCTGGCCTGGCTCTGGCCACCCTCACCTACTTCTCCCAACGGCGCCCGGTCCCCCTCTTCCGGTCT